ATAATATATATAATATAAATAATATATTTTTGAAATTTGATTAAAATAAATTATTGAACATTAACAATATATTCTACTATCACAAATGTTTCAATATAGAAAGCCAACGATCAATGATTCAATATTTTAATATTTCGAAGATAGAATCAATATATATATATATAGATAATATAATTTCGAAATAATATGTAATATATACATATGTATATAAATAAATATATTAACTTACTTACATATCATAAATACAAATAGTTTATGTTTAATTTGATATAGTGTAATAATATAGATGGCGTATTGATTATATTTTATTCTTGTATTTTTTTAAATGGAATGAAGTAATCTAATTATTTTTATTCAATAATTTTGTTAAATTGAGTTGTCTTTTATGCATAATAATATAAGTATAAAATAAAAAATTTAGAAATTTAATGTTATATATAAATTTAATTAAAAGAACGTTTATTTAATACTGTTCATTATCTGTTATCTGTGAATATAAAGTGAAACTAAAGTGATTTTTGCGAATATGGGGTTACCTCGTGTATATTTTGATATATCGGCTGATGATAAATCATTAGGTCGTATCATAATGGAATTACGAACAGATATAGTTCCAAAAACAGCAGAAAATTTTCGCGCCCTTTGTACGGGAGAAAAAGGTTTTGGATATAAAGGAAGTATCTTCCACCGAGTAATTCCTAAATTTATGTGTCAAGGTGGAGACTTTACTAATCATAATGGCACGGGAGGAAAATCAATTTATGGAGAAAAATTTGAAGATGAAAATTTTGAATTAAAACACATTGGTCCTGGCATATTGTCCATGGCAAATTCTGGACCTAATACCAATGGTTCACAATTTTTTTTAACTACTATAAAGACTACTTGGTTAGATAATAAACATGTAGTTTTTGGTTCTGTTGTGGATGGTATGGGTGTAGTAAAAAAAATTGAAAGCTATGGTTCTCAAACTGGAAAAACTCATCAAAAAATTGTGATTACTAATTGTGGTCAACTCTAAAATATTTTAGTAATATAATTATTTATAATATATTGTATACATATATACATAATATATATAATATATGTGTATATATATATATATATTTTTTCTTATTAAAATATGTCTATTAAGTTTTATAAAATGAACATAATATAAAACAAGCAACAACAAATAGAATAATTTGTTTTATATGTGAAAATAATTAATAATATCTTATTTTCTTTCTTTGACACATTCTTTCTGTCTTATTTTTTCATTCATATATTTGCATTAAAATTTGCTTCATATAAAGTACATGATTAATAACTTGTAACATGCAAATAATTGGAAAATAAAAAAATATAAAAAATGAAAAGAATTATAAAAATAAGTGCATTTTTTTCATATTTCAATAAAATGTAAAAATAGTATGAATGAATTATTAAGTTTATCAATTTTTTATACAGATATATATAGATATATCTATATATATCTATATAAAATATATATATATACATAATATACATTATATATATACATAAATTCAATTCTCAAATTTTACAAATATATTTAAATTCATACATATTTATACATATATGTATATACATATATACAAAATACATACATACATATATTCATACAACTATATGTATATATAAAATAACATAGAAGAAAGAAAATTATTTGTGATGAATATAGCATATTCATTATAGAATTGATATTAAATTCATAATTGAATAATTCAAATATGCACTAAGTGCATCAACAAGTAACAGAAAAAATTAAAGAAAGGAATTCTATTTTCATATTAAAATCTAATAACAATATAACAAATCATAAATTATTAAAATATCAATCAATACATATGGGTAAATTAACCATGAAAAATATATTAAGTTCCAAGATAGAAGCAAATACTAAGAAAATGATATACATAGTAAGACAAATTATTCCAACGGATCGTGTTAATTTAAATTTGCCAATTAAAAGAGATAAATAAAGAACGGTAAGAGTAGAAAATAACGATATGGAGCTATAAATTAGTCCTTGAGAATTAATTGTCACATAATGATTGCCAGATTCTTTCGAAAAAAGTGCTGCTTTTAAAAACCAAGGTAATCCAAGGCAAAGCAATACATCGAATACATTTGAACCAATTGAATTACTGATGCCCATAGCTCCATGTCCTAAAAATTAGAAGAATTATATGTCAATTATTAAATTTTATAAAAGATACAAAAGATTTTAATTTAAAAATATTAAAATAAAATATTAGAATAAAAAAAATAATCATTAGGAATATCAAGAAATTTTACTTTAATTGTAAATATACATATATAAAATTGTTGACATATATATATTAAATACAAATAATATTATACAAATAATATTAGCTATCTATATATGAAAAAAATTAAATAAATTTGATCAGATCCTAATAATGTCACTTGACGTATTATCGTAACTTAGCATGTTAATATCACAATTTTTATTCAATACTATTTTTTATCGATTAAAATAAATGATAATTATTATAAATGATAGAAAGATCATCGATCGTTTTCAAATAGAAATAACTTGTTTAAATAGAAATTAATTTTAATCAATATCCCATGTTAATACTATATTAAAAAGTCAATATGTAAAAAGAATAAAATTACCTTGATTCGCAACAATAACACTCGACACAGCCTCCGGTACACTCATTCCTGCCGCAAGAAAAGTTAATCCCATTATAGAATCGGGAATCCTAAATGTATCGCCTAAAATAATATTCATTATCACGTAATATCAAATATATATAAATATACATACTTAATTATTTTTTTGTATTTGATGTACATTTATTATACATGTTCATATCATATTATTATATTTTTTGTAACTATTAACTATAAATATTTACTAAAAATAAAATCTGACCAATTAAATATGATGAAATTGTTTAGTAAAAATTATTATGCATACCAATTACAGTAATGACCCATCCAACTATGTACGAAGTAGATGCTATCCATATTATGCACATAATAAAAGTAAGGGGGTACCAAGATTTTAATGTGCTTCTTCTGCAATCGGGAATCGTGATGAGAAGCACGAAATTTATAGGCCAAGTAATCAACCACCAAATTCGTTCACACTTCGATTTTGGCCAATTCATCATATTTACAATTTCAACTAGAAAACAAAAGAAATATTTTATTGTATTTATAATTATATGTATACTATGTATACTACACTTACTACTTTATGCTTTACACATACTATGCTTTTCGTATAATCCATATTACTTACGCGATTCATCTTCTTCACTCGATTCTAATAAATTATCTATGTTTTTAATATCTAAAAAGATAAATGAATGAATTTTTATAAATAAAAATCAATTATATATGTCACAGAATTAAGTAAAAAATTAATGTAATAAAATGAATAAAATTAATATAATACCATTAGAAAACAAAGGAGTTTTTTCAGAAAGATTCTTATACTTTTTTCTTGTTCTTGTTGCATATTGAATAAATTGATGTATATTACGATCAAAACACATTACTGAAATGATAAAAATTATAAATATAATAAATATAAAAGAACTAGAAACACAATCCATGTGAAAACATTTCTAAATATATGTAATGTTAAATAATAATAATAGAATATAATATATATATATAAATAAAAAATAATATAAATATATATAAATATATAAATAAAAAATAATATAAATATA